GGGGAAGTCCAGGACGGATGGAGCGGGAAAAACGCCATAGACATAAGCTTGTGGCGCTCCGCGCGGCTGCCTTGGATCCGCGCTGGGCCCTCCCCCCCTGCCCAGCGGCGCCTCCGGCGCCGCCCCTGGCGCGCCAGCGCAGGCCCAAGAAATCCGCGCGGAGCGCTGATGCTTGCGCCGTGCGGTTAGGTCGGTGGGCAAAACTTTTCAAAATTGACACAAGAACAAACAAAAAAAAACAAATAAATGTTCAAACTGATTACACACATCATCGAAAAATCGCCCCCCTATTATGTTTGTACTATTTGGGATATTCCTCCTGTGGAGGGGCATGCCCGACTCAGCCGTACGGTCCCGCTCCGTGGGCTCGGAGTGGCTGCGCCAGCCTGCCCCGGACCCCTTCGGTTGGACCTAGCCGCGGCGTGCCTCGTGACGGGACCCGCCGCTGGCTCGGCTTGGAGGGGTTCGCCGAAGGGCTTAGGCGACCCGTCCACCTCCTCCTCCTCTTCCTCCTCCTCCTCCTCCTCCTCCTCCTCCCTCCTCCTCCTCCTCCTCCCTCCTCCTCCCTCTCCTCCTCCTCCTCCCTCCTCCTTCTCCTCCTCCTCTCCTCCTCCTCCTCCTCCTCCTCCTCCTCCTCCCTCCTCCCTCCTCCTCCTCCTCCTCCTCCTCCTCCTCCTCCTCCTCCTCCTCCTCCTCCTCCTCCTCCTCCTCCTCCCTCCTCCTACTCATCCTCATCCTCATCCTCATCCTCATCCTCATCCTCATCCTCCTCCTCGGGTCGCCTACGGCCCCGGGGGAAACCGTGCAGCTCGGCTACTCTTGTGGAAGACGATCAATGGAGAGGAGGCAGATTGCCAAATCGTTCCCAGATGTCTAAAACATGTTTGACATATGATTCTAAATTGCTAAAACATATGTCGAACATGCTTAGAACATGTTTTGAAGTATCCCAGTGCGACCCTACCTAGGAGTTGGAACCCCTAGGAAAGCAGCATATAGTAGTTACAGTAAAGCTAAGCTAAAGTTAAGCTAAAGCTAGGCTAAAGCTAAGCTAAAGCTAAAGCTAAGCTAAAGCTAAGCTGAAGCCGAGCTAAAGCTAAGCTGAAGCTAAACTGAAGCTAAGCTAAAGCTAAGCTCAAGCTAAGCTCAAGCTAAGCTCAAGCTAAGCTAAAGCTAAGGTCAAGCTAAGGTAAAACTAAGCTAAAACTATAAATAAGCGAAGCTACAGCTAGCTAAGCTAAAGCTAAGCTAAATCTAAGCTAAATATAAGTTAAAGCTAAGCTAAAACTAAGCTAAAGCTAAGATAAAGCTAAGCTAAAGCTAAGCTAAAGTTAAGCTAACGCTAATATAAAGCTAAGCTAATGCTAAGGTGAAGCTAAGCTCAAGCTAAGCTAGAGGCCACGCTAAAGCTAAGGTAACGCTAAGCTGAAACTAAGCTAAAGCTATGCTAAAGCTAAGCTAAAGCTAAGCTACAGCTAAGCTCAAGCTAAGCTAAAGCTAAGCTAAAACTAAGCTACAGCTAGGCTAAAGCTGAGCTAAAGCTAAGCTGAAGCTAAACTGAAGCTAAGCTAAAGCTAAGCTGAAGCCGAGCTAAAGCTAAGATACAGCTAAGCTAACGCTAAGGTAACTCTAAACTAAAGTCAAGCTAAAGCTAAGCTAAATCTAAGCTCAAGCTAAAGTAAAGCTAAGCTCAAGTTAGGGTCAATCTAAGATAAAGCTAAGCTAGAGCTAAGCTAAAGCTAAGATAAAGCTAAGCCAAAGCTAAGCTCAAGCTAAGCTAAAGCTAAGCTAAAGCTAAAGCTAAAGCTAAAGCTAAAACTCCCAGGGGACTGGGGGAACCGCGGGGCGGATCCTGGGGGAACCGCCCGGGGCGAGGTCCACTGCCCGGCCCCTTTAAACCAACAGGGTAAGAACCCTTCTAGGCAGAGCTTAGGTAGGGAAATGTGTAGAAGTCACTTGAAATACATGTTTAATTCAGTGAAAGAACGGTCAGAGTGTCCATTGTCATGGGATTCACAAGGATACTCCCCAGGGGGGCCGATCGGTTGGCGCAGGGCTCTCTTTTGCTGGCCGTGGACTCCCCCTGGTGTTTTGCTCGGGACTTTCCCGAGCTCCCCGGACTTCCCCTGGGCCTCCGACCGAGATCCCCCCGGAGGTTCCTCGGACTTCCCTGGACCCCCTCTCACATCAGGGGCGAAAAGGACGTACACGTACATGAATCCATGTTGGTTTCGAGAGTAGATACGCATTGCGCGAACGTTCGTATCACGCGGCTGGTCTCGCGATTGGAAGGCCGTGTTCATGTACTTGGTTCGGCTCGTACGTCCTTCGTGGGCTCTCTCTCTCTCTCTCTCTCTCACGGCGAGGACCTTGCGCCAAGAGACCGAAGACGGCCCCAGGAGCCTCTTGCGAGCCCAAAAGCATGGCCTCATGAGGGTCCTGAGAGCCTGCGAGGTTCCCGCTCGGCCCGCGGGAGCGCAAAAAGACGCCGGTTGTTGAAAGTTGGTAGTTCTGGACTCCCAGGTCCCGATCTACTTTAGCCGCCTTCCCAATGCAAGCGTCGAGTGGGCTTCCCTCATCCTTCCTCCTCCGCCTCCTCCTTCTCCTGCTCTTCCTCCTCCTCCTGCTCCTCCTCCTCCTCCTCCTCCTCCTCTTCAGGAAGCGGGCGGAGGCCCAATCTACTACCAACGCCTGCCTACTTACCTCTTCCGACCGACGGGTGGTTATCAGAGCGTGTGTTGGCCAGTGCCTCTGGGCTCCCACGCCCTAAACAGACAGGGAGACGGCCCCCAGAGCTGCCGCAGACCGCCTCCCGCGCGGGGGCCACGGGAGCGCCTTGGGAGGGCCCCGAAGACGGTCCATTGTGGCCAAGCTCCGCTCCCTTTGTCCTTGCCATCTTTCAGTCGGGCATGTCCCTCTACGGGAGGACAATTCGAAAAGAGTCCAAAAAATAGTCTGGGGACGATTTCCCGACTATTTGTTGACTATGTTTGAATTTGTTTTGGCTAGTTTTGATTTGTCCTCCAAAATCCGCCTGCAGGAGGACATGCCCGACCTACTGCTATCAGGTGGCGTTCGGTTCATCCCACAGCCCAGCCTGGGTTGTGGATCAGAGGTCTCTTGGAGAAGTCGTTGGGCCTCCCGAGGGACGTCCCACTTGGAGGCCGCGTGGGGCAACTCCGGCGTCCATTCCTCGGGAGCCTGCTGGGCGCTTAGGCGCCTCTGCGGCCTCTTGGGCACCTCAAGGTTGCGCCTGGGGGTCCCTTGGCGATCTAGCGGGCCCTCTTGGCACAAGAGCCTGGGGCCGATCGCTGACCCTCCTCCGGGCCGAAAACATTGAAAGTACATTACTACTTTTGAGAGAATGAGTGGTCCTAGAGATCTTGTGCGGGATGTCTTGTGTGGACTTTTGTGTTGGGCGCTGGGCGTCGATTCGCGTTATCTGGCTTCGTGATCGTGCACAAGTCGTCTTCTG